AAAAATTAAGTCAAATTTAGTTAAATTTAGAACATTATGTATAAAATGAAGTGATAATAGATACAGTTAAATAATTTAATTGATAGTGATAATAATGCATACATATGTATTGGTTTGCTAAGAGGAAATTTGATATAAATTGCAAATGGTGGCTACGAAAGAAGATTTAGAAACTCTGTTATTAAATATAACCAATTTTTATTTAGAACATGTTATAAAGCTGTAATGTTACTGGATGATATTGGGAAGAGCTAATGCAATGCCATTATGTGGTTTCGCTTTAAATCTGGAATATTTTATATAAAAGGACGTAAAAACAATTATAATTAAAAGAAAATTTAGGTTTTATTATAATAAAAAATTAAGTCAAATTTAGTTAAATTTAGAGCATTAAGTATAAAATGAAGTGATAATGCATAGAGTTAAATAACTGATTGATAATGTTAATAATGCATATATATGTATTGGTTTGATAAGAGGAAATTTGATATAAATTGCAAATGGTAACTACGCAAGAAGATTTAGAAACTCTGTTATTAAATATAACCAATTTTTATTTAGAACATGTTATAAAGATGTAATATTACTGGGTGATATTGGGAAGAGCTAATAGAATACCATTATGTGGTTTTGCTTTAAATCTGGAATATTTTATATAAAAGGACGTAAAAACAATTATAGTCAAATGAAGGTTGAGGTATGATGATAGTAATATATATATATTTGATTTAAAATATATGATTTGATATGAATTGTAGGTGATGACTGTGGAAGGGATGCACGGAAGTTTTTGTAACCAATCAACACACTTTCTACAACTTGTAATGGAAGATGGTTTTTGTGTTTTGTTTTTTTCTTTATGTTTTGTCTGTTTGTGTTTATTCAAAAAGAAAAAAAAAACTTTATTAAAAAAAAGATGCACTGGTGTATAAGACGCGCCAAGATTTCGAAGAGGTAAGTAAGAAAAAAAAGTTTTTGTCCTTCCCGGCCCCCAGGAGCATTCTGCAGGCTTCAGCAGGCCTGGGGTAAGACAAAAACGCCTTCGTTTTTCACCAAAACAGGGGCGTTTTTCCTCTTCCCCAGCCCTGCTGAAGCTTGCAGAGTGCTTCTGGGGGATGGGGGAAGGCCAAAACACCCCCATTTTTGAAAAAAAAAAAACCCAGCCCATTTCTCACAAAAATGGGATGCAAGAGCGGGGCTTTGGGAGGCAAAAAATGGCTGTATAAGACGCACCAACATTTCCACACTTTTAGGGGGGGGGGAAATACTCCATTTTATACTCTGAAAAATACGGTAACTCCTATTTATGAAATATAAGTGTTAAGTGAATCAATGTAGGCTGAAACTGTTAGGATTTTAGAAAGAAAAAATCCCTACTAAAGATTCTTGCAAGTGTTTTGAAACAGACATCAGGAATATTTGTGGACAGAATGCCATTGTTCAGATCCAAAGTGGGGAAAAATGCTTGGTATCAAGTGAGAATGCTCTCTGTACCTCCTTAAAAAAGTCATGTTTTTTTTTTTGCAAAGAGGGATAGCTGCTGCAAGCCTAATCTAAATAGAAAGTAGATTCATCAGGAGAGGGGAATGGCTATAAGATCCCTTCCTTTCAGACTACCTTCCACTTGCCCAAGTACAATGAATAGATCAATGAATGAGTGAGTGAGTGAATGAATGAATGATATGATATGCATCGTGTGCTAGCCAGAAATACAATGAGACAGATCCATGGTGGTTATGGCAGCCCAAATCCCTGCATAGGCATTCCAGGATGCCTCAACACCAAATCTGAGATGAGACTTCAATAAATTTCTCAAGCTGGCACAAATACATTACAATAACAAAGACAAAAGAAATTAAATAATTAAAATACGATATTTATTAAATGTATATGTCACTCAAGTCCCAGGGATCCTTAAATATCGAATGAGAGAACGTGGCAAATGAGATTCCATGTGATGGACATTCTGTAGAGAAAGTATACAACTTCCTTCTTTGATGCAGCTTACCTCAAAAGATAAAACTATAGGAAAGATTTCTGTGGGTGACTTCAAATTATTATTCTGGGGAGAGATTCTGTGCACTTCTACTTGAGTTTATTTGAAGCTACAGTGTTTCCACGAAATTACGACAGGGTCTTATTTCTTTTGCCCCACGAAATATGGCGTTGGGCTTATTATCAGGGAGGGCATATTGTTTTGGGGTTGTTGGGTGGCTGCTCCCTTGCAAGCGGACTCCCGAAGAGCCGGGTACAGTCTCAGGGGCGAAGCAGCCATGAGGTAACCACGCTCACGAGCAGCCACCCAGCAAATCCCCTCTCCAGGCAGGGGGTATCACTAAGGCGCCAAGCCACATGGCGCTCTGTCCGCCCCCCCCCAGCTCTCGTGGCTTGGCATCGGCCGCTCTAGAAGTGCTCTCTATGGTGGGCCGGCTGCCAAACAGAGAGTCTTCCGGACAGGGAGTCTTCCAGCATCCGGCTCACCATAGAGAGCACTCCTAGAGTGGCCGATGCTGGAAGACTTGGCAGTGGAGTTTTGGAGTTTGGAAGTTTTGCTCGGAGCGTGGTGGTGGGCAGCGTCCTGGGAGAGCTGCGTAAGGGCTTGGTGAGGCTGGGGGTGGAACAGGCGCTCGCGCAACCCCCCCTCTCCAGCTGGGCAGAGCTCCATGCACTGACCTAGGGGATATCCCGAATTGCCAAGCCACGGGAGCTGGGGGGCAGACAGAGCACCATGTGGCTTGGCGCCTTACTGACACCCCCTAGGTCAGTGAATGCACTCTGTCTGGCTGGAGAGGGGATTTGCTGGGTGGCTGCTCGTGAGCGTGGTCACATCATGGCTGCTTCGCCCCTGAGGCTGTGCCCGGCTCTTTGGGAGCCCACTCACAAGGGAGCAGCCGCCCAGCAACTCTCCCCTCCAGCCAGGCAGAATGCCACTCCCCAACCTAGCAGTATCCTGAAGGCAGCAAGCAACGTGAGCACCCTCTCCTCGGCTTGGCACCTTCGGGATACCGCTAGGTCGGTGAGCGGTGCTCTGGCTGGCTGGATGGGGGGTTGTCTAGGGGGTTTATTTTGGGGGGTGGGCTTATATTTTTGCCCACGCAAAAAATGTGGCAAAGCGTTAGTTCCGGGACAGGTCGTATTTCCGGGGAAACACAGTATAAATATCAAAGTGATACAGACAATCGTTGACTCATGACCATAATTGAGCCCAAAATTTCAGTTGCTAAGTGAGACATTAAATTTTGTCCAATAACTTTCTTACCACAATTAAGCAACTCACTGCAGTTGTTAAGTGAATCTGGCTTCCCCACTGACTTTGCTTATCAGAAGGTCACAAAAAGTGATCACATGGCCCCAGGACATTGCAAAGAGTCCAAATTTTGATAACGTGACCATGGGGATGGTGCAACCATCATAAGTATGAAAAATGGTCATGTTACCCTTTTTCAGTTCTATTGAAACTCTGAATGGTTATCAAACAAATGAGACTACCTGTACATCCTGGATCAGTAGAAATTTTCATAGAGGGGTACAAACAATCCTTTTTCAGAATAGGAACCATCTCCTTTATATTATGAACTTAAAGCTAAAGTAAAAGGTGCTGTTCCATGAAATTTCACTAAGCATAGAAGACAAAATATTTTTTAAATAATAAAACTATGATGTGGTTGATAATCTCAAATAATATTAAAAGCCTTACATCAATTCTGATTTAGATGTTGCATTAGAATTTAAAACAATTCTAAAATAATAAGTAGAGAATAGAGTTGGTTAAAGAAATGGTTGATGGCAACAGATTGTGTCATAATTTATTAACGAAGAAATGTGAATGTGATTGCAAAAGAATCTGAAATTATGAATAACATAATACAGCCATTTACATCTGTAAAGATCATCAGTGTATAGGCCACAACTCTCCACATTTCCAAATTATATTTCTGGGGGATCTTAGGGTAAGAGCCTTTAAAATACACACTAACTGAAGATTACAAGCTATACACAAAAACATATTGCCAGAACTTGGTACCTTTTCCCTCCTACCCCAAAATATATAAAGGTGCAATGACTTATTTTATGGGGGAAGGATAATTATTTAAATTAAAAATTAGTTAGGCTTTTCTTATAGGGTCCCTATAGCAATTTTTCATAACTAGTTCATTATATTCACTTTATCACCATTAATTCACTTAACACATTATTCTTATGGTTGCTATCATTTTTTCTCCTTTTTCCCAGGCTACTCAGTTGTTGCTATCACATTCTTCAAATTTCCTAATAATTTACTGCCTCAATTTTACTCTAAAATACCATACATATTATATTTCTCCAACCATAAATCTTTCCTGTGTTCATTTACTCCAGTGAAGGTCACTCAGTTCTCTTTCAGTTTCTGCTATCCTGTAAAAGGTTCTATTCCTTATATTTTAAGAATCACCATCACTCTACTCTATAAACGGCCCCTCACAAGTATAACACCATCTCCTTAGCCAGTTTCAATTAACAATGAAACTTATGGCAAATGGTATGTATGCTTAATGATATCTTCCTGCAGCCTCACCTGTGATTCAATGGTGCAATAAAATTGCATGACAAAAAGATAGATCAGAGAAAACTGCTCAGAAGAAATGATAATTCAGTTGAAACATTTCTTCTAGATCCAGTAACTTATTTCTAGTTAAGACTTCAAGGATATATTACTCCCCCACTCCAACACAGCTTTTCCCACTGTAGTTTCAGAGACAATTAAGTGATGAAACAGCATGTAAACCATTAGCACGGAAATACTACAATATTCCGAATTAACTGTAAAAGAATTTTCTATTAAAATTACTACTTACCATGTTAGGCATAACAGGAGCAGGCACTGGTTTCTTGTCCATTGGAAACTGTGGCAAACTGTTAGGTAATACCGGCTTATTTTGCATCTGGGGACCAAGTCCACTGGCTCCAATTGGCTGCCCAGTGTTTTGGCTATATGGCGGGACATAAGGACCGGGGTTGTTCATCATTCCCATCTAAAAATTAAATAAAAAGTGACAGATCAGTTAAGAGTTTTTAATTTTGACTTTTATTAAACCAAGCATGAATATTTTAATATCACACACTATCTTGATGCAGTGCAATATACTTAGAATAGCCGTATCTCGATCTCCTTCCCAACCTTTCATGAATGATATTCTAATAAGGAATTCTTAAAAAAAAAAGCAAAACCATGAAATTACTATTAATGATAATATAGTTCATTTCTAGTTCATACTGACAAGTTTCCCCCAAGATAACTAAACTTATTAAATATAATTTTAATTGGTACAATTCACATTGAATTTAAAGAGTTCATAACTGAACATGTATATGAACGTACTCTTTAACTAAAGTCACGATTCTATTAATTGAATATAACTTTCAGATTTCATAGCTTTCAGATTTCAATATCTAGCTTAGACTCTATAAAATGTTTAATCTGATTACACATTAAGACATCCTATAACTGTTCAGTTCATTACAATATCAAATCCTCCCTCAAAGTAAAAGCTTAGAAATGAGTGTTTGTGATTATCTGTTAACAGTGACTTGCAAGTTTATATTTTAACTTCTTAAGTGCATACATAATTTGGTATACAGGCCAAGTCATCAAACTAGAAACCAGAAGATAGTAAGTTGTAATTTTTCTGGGCGCTGCTTGGAGAGTCCAAGCATGGGTTAAATACAGCCAATCTGCCCAGGACTGAATTGTTTAACCACGCCTCTGGTGCTGACCAGTCTCCATTTTTTTTTCAATTCAGTCAGCCCAGTGGACGTGCTTCAAATTTCTCTTCAATGCTAGTAGATTGCTTGGACTCTCCATTGTTTCTTTTAACTATTTTTTTCTTATTTTAGAGAGCAGGCTTGGTGAGATTTCTTTCTTTTGCCTCGTTGGATTTTCTTTGTTTTTTTTTTAACCTTCCTCGCTCTTCCTAGTCTCTCTGGTGTCCTGGGCTCACCCGGGCGCTGCGAGGCTACAGGCAGCTGTCGGCGGAGGCACATGGGTCGGAGTTCAGACGACCGCGCGATCGTAGCAATCCCCGTTGCAATCGCTCTCTCTGCTATGGTCTTCCTTGCTTTCAACTGCCCTCGCCTAGAGGAGCTGGCGGCTGGCGCAGAGTCTCAGGGAATTGCAAATTGAGTTCTGGTGGCCATTTTGAGGAGGTCAGAAGTGACAGTGCCATTTTGGTTGCTTGTTTTCCCATGCAAATCTCCACAGCTGCCTGGTCACCTGGCTCTCTGCAGATTGCCACTCGGAGCTCTCCTATCAGGCCCTCTGGTGGGTCTGCCTCTCTTTGTGACATGATTTGGCAATAGCAGCAGACGAGATTTCATTGGTCATTCTGAGTCATATTCCTATACAATCGACCTGCGTGGGTGCTGGGAGCTGCCAAGTCTCACCAAAGGTTCTTTGACCTGATTCCACCACATCTTGCTCCTGCTGCCCTCAATGCCTCTCATTCAGAGTGCTACGGCCCAGTCCTCCACAGCTGTGAAGGTGGTGAGCGGAGGCTTTCCATGCCTTGATCAATTACTCATGAACAACATCAGTCATGGTAGACCGGGCACCTGAGGATCCATCACAGCCAGACCCCTCCACTGGCAGGACCTGTTCCAGACGAGCTGGCAAGGCAGCCTGGGAGGCCATTAAAGAGAGCAAGCCCTATTCCAGGGAAAGGGCGTTGGTACTTACCTGATACGCCTCTTCTCATAGTGGGGGGAGGAGTATCCAGAATGGGTTTGACCTTATCCTCTCGTGATTGGTTTGAGTCAGATAAGCT